TATCCTGGAAGTCCTCTTTCCTCTAGATATACCCCCATCTGGAGGAAGCTGGTGACAATGAGATCACAAGTTTGAGCCGCCTGACAACGACCAAAGTCTCAGTTTCTCCATTATATGCACTTCAGTATTGATTACTGTATTTTGTAACCTATATATGGTCAAAATTCAATAAAAACTTTGAAACAAAAGAAACATGAGAATGCCTAAACATTTCTAATTGCAACAATTTTCGGTGTTAAGTGGTGCATTATCTGAGAGAAATGCAGTGTCAATATTTTTGGCCATGACTGTGCATGTGGATATACCTATCTATATATAGATATATCTATATATAAATAATATATCAATCCATAGATCTATATATATATCTATATATATATCTATAGATATATATATAGATATATATAAATATAACACACACACACACACCTTTATTTGTTAGTGGTGTGCTTAGTCATTTTTATTAAGTATTGTGGCTTAGATGAAGACACTGCTGTTCAGTATAAGAACCTGCCATGCTTGGTGTACATTGAGTTGTTTACACTCTGAAGGTGTGCCAACCTGTTCTTTGTTATTTAACTGAACTGACCTTCCCAGGATAGTCCAGTTGGCAATAACAAATGTTACAGAAGGTGACCTACTCACCCCTTTATCCAAAATAATAATAGATTTCTATAGCTTCTATTTTAATCTTGAATACGCTTCTGGTTTCTTTTGCCAAGATGTATTTAAAATGTCAATATCATGTAGGTTGGCGGGGGGGTTAGGATGGATCATCACATTATAGGATTCTTGCATGCAAACAAATGTATAAAAAGGTAGTTATAAACTTTACAAAGTCTAAACAAAGACATATTAAACATTTTATTGTACATCACATCTGGAAAAAAGATACAGCTAATGGTGTGCACACAGTATGTTTATACAAGAACTATACATACATAAATTATTTCAAATTCAACATGGTTAATAAAACAATAGACCGCCATCTGGTGGCAGAAAAGTGACAAACTATATCAATCCCAACCATCCTCTGAAAACATGTCTGTTCTTCTGGTCTGAAAAGTCTTGCGAAACTCTTCATCAAACATATTGAGATC